AAGCTTAGAATCTTTTCCCGAACAGTCAGAGGAAAGCAGCAGTGCTTCATGAGGCTTCGTTTGCCCATCACTACTGAGAGCATGAGTAACAAAACAACCATACCATCAAATAACTGTCAAAGCACAAGAGAAACACAAGGGCTATATAAGCTGTGTTGAACCATTGAACTAATGAGTTACCATGGAAACTAACAAGGAAATGGGTGTGGTCCAATTAGTGTCCATGGCAACAAACAAGGGAACAGAGCAGCAGGGAAACACGAGGTGAACAAAGCAACAATAATGAAGACATGGAACTAAACAGTCCATGTACACAGCCACAGGAACCACAAACAGGGAATGTGACAGTAGTACGCTGACAACCACCAAAAACAGGTGGTGATAAGAAAGTCACATGGTGAAATAAAGTTCATTAAAATTGACTTTTCCTACAAGCAGAGGATAAAAATCTAACCCTAGCCATATAGTAAGCAGCACATGTAGTTAATTAATATACTCAATACCTAAATGTATAATTACACTGTAACAATGACACCTTAAAATAAAATGTAACCCAAAATAAATGTAACTGTAATCTGTTACAGTTACTTATGAAAATGTTAATGATTACAAAGAATGGGGAATGATTACATCTGAATATTTTCACACACACACACACACACACACACACACACACACACACATGTTGTGTTTCCATGTTTTATGGGGACATTCCATAGGCGTAATGGTTTTTATACTGTACAAACTGTATGTGCTATTGCCCTACATCAACCCTACCCCTAAACCTACCCCTCACAGGAAACTTTGTGCATTTTTACTTTCTCAAAAAAAGTCATTCTGTATGATTTATAAGCTTGTTTCCTCATGGGGACCTCAAAAATGTCCCCACAAGGTCAAAATTTACTAGTATTACTATCCTTGTGGGGACATTTGGTCCCCATAACGTGATAAATAGCAGGTACACACACACACACACACACACGCACACACGCACACACACACACACACACACACACACACACGCACACACACACAGAGAGATTTAATTTATTTCTTTCCCAAATTGCATCGAGTGCTTTAAAATATAAGACACCAATGTTTCAGGGGTTTAGGACATGAATAGGACACATTCTTATTCAATAACTGTTTTTATTTCCTGTTTGGGTTTATGTTTATGCTTTATTTTTTAAGATTAACTGTTTTTTTTTCCAAAGCATGGTTAGATGCCAGTGTTTCCTGTCATAGCTGTGCAAAATGTGATTTCCAAAACAGTATCCTAGCTATTAAACTATATCTTGTTAGGATTTTAAACCTCAGAATGATCTCTAAAGTCTGCTAAAATCTGATTTTGTGGTGGCTGTACTTTAAAATTAAATTATTTTAATCTTAATTCAAGCGATGAAGGATTTTGAGAAGTTTGTCAGTAATGAGTGTTGAATATACTGTAAGGTTAACCCTGCCTGCTTTAAATGTTTGAAAATGATTAATAGTTGAAAACATTCATTAGAAATTTAGAAAAGTAATCAAAAAGTGATCAAATGTAATCAGTTACATTAATAAAGTAACTGAAATAAATAGTTACACTACTTATTACATTTTAAATAGGGTACCTTGTAATGTAACCTATTACATTTCCAACCTTCCCAACACTGTTAGTAAATGTGCCACATGCCATTCGTTTTGTTTGTGTTTAGGAACCATGAAATAATACAGAAATAATCATGTCTTCAACGTTAAGCATGTTGCAGGGTATTTCAAAAGAAGGAATGCTGTCAAATGAGAGGTGAGAGGGAGGCTGGATCGTGGCGTAGGTAAGAACAGGTGGAGTCAGTTACACATTTACATTACTGTTGGTTTAACACAGCTGGAGCGTCACAAATACTGTGTCTGTGTAATCACGATATAAACAAGGTAAGACAAAGAGAGAATTTTCCTTTTAAATATATAAGCATATATAAGTATGTTTTATATATAATATATTTGTTTGGTTTCACCGATAATAGCATTATGGGTCAACAATTCCTGGTCATAAATGTCAGCAAGCCAGCAAGTCTCCATGCTGAATAGTGAACCATCACAAAAACATGTTAATCTCTAGATTCTGTGCTGTTTAATTTCATATTTTCTCATTAAAACAAATTGCTTGCGGCTGCAGAGCAACCATGTCGAACAAATCATATGAGGTCAAATATTCAACGATGAGTGATGAGATGCAGCGGGACGCTCTACAGTGTGTCCTTACAACTGAGTATTTGTACAAAGAGTACAACGACATTGCTAAATACATTGCAAAGGTTAATATGAGTTCCTTGATTTACTGAGTGAATGGAATGTCTTGATAAGCTTCAGTTTATTCAGTATTGTGAAAATTGTGAGTTGGAACTTTACGGTGTATTTCTTTATAGGAATTTGACAGAAAGCATCAGCCCGACTGGTTCTGCATTGTGGGGAACTTTGGTTGCTACCATCCGAGCAAATATAATGTCTGCTTCTGTTGTCACGATTCGCTGCCGGAAGGAACGCAGGAGACACGGAGAAGCGTTAAACAGTCTTTTAATCCACAAACACAGGGAAAAATCCACAACAGGAACGAGGAATGACACACAAACATAACCTGTAGACCCGGCAGAAACAGACAGCACAGACTCGAACTAAATACATGGGGTAAATAACTAGACACACCTGGAACAAATGATCAATCAACACGAGGAAGAAACTGGGTCACGGGAAGCACATGGGGAGGAAAAACACCACAAAACAGTACAGAATCCTGACATCTGTGATGGCAACAAATATATTCTGCTCTTCAAGACTTAGCTGAGTGACAGCAACGGTTCAAACACATTTTATAATAAAGTGTAAATGCAAACTCAGGGTCAGCTATTTTAGTTGTGGTGGCATGATTACGCTAAAAAAAAATCTGTACTATAGTTGTATGAATAAACTTTTTATGAATTTGTCGTTCTCTGTGGGATTATTTGCTTTCTAAATTGAAATCCTACAGGGATCTATTTACTGATTGTCCTTGTGTATTAAATATTAAATGGCACCTTATGCCTGTGATAGCATTCGTTTCGTAGACTTACAAATAGAAAGACTTAAAAACAGCATTTTTCAGTTTCATTTGTCCGAATCACTTCCTGTCTCACCTTCATCTGATGGATTTTTGGAGGCAGCACAGATATAGCCTTCGCTGCCTTTGATATCCCACAATCCTGTGCGCTCCATTCTGTGATGGGTGAGCTAAAAAAAATAAAGATGGCATCTGAAATTGCATTTACAAAAGTGTTTGGTGGTCAGTTTAGTGTAAATGTATATATATATATATTTTGCACTTTTGATGTTATTTCTAGCGATAAATCAGTATTATAGTAATTAAATCGTTTTGTTATCACCAAAACTCACCACCAACTTTGTTGTAGATCATTAAACCATACGCTGCCTCAGAAGGCTGTACAAAATCAGTTTCATGAGGTGCCTTCGTGCAAAAACGCAGCCTGCAAAGTCATTGCCTGATAAGGTTCACAGTGTTGCTAACTAATTTTCATGTAAAGTTGCTAAAGGCAGGTCGATTTGCATATTTTTTTAATTATAACATTTAATTATTGAAAAGTTGCACCTTTTTGAACAATTACATTTTACTAGTAAAAAACATTTAATTTGAATGCTACACTCTAAGGAAAGTCCATAAAAACAGGGCACAGTGTACTGTGTTAATATGAAGGAATTTTGTGTATTTATTTTTCACCAGCATTTTACCTGTATTTCAAACATTGAATTTTGATAGATAGATAGATAGATAGATAGATGTGGTTAAGAGGTTAAATGCATGCCTTTTTATCATTTGAGTCACTTTCCATAAATTGCTAAAAGTTGCCAAATACATTTTAAAAATAGCTAAATTTGTTGCTAGTTGAAAACATTCATTAGAAATTTAGAAAAGTAATCAAAAAGTGATCAAATGTAATCAGTTACATTAATAAAGTAACTGAAATAAATAGTTACACTACTTATTACATTTTAAATAGGGTACCTTGTAATGTAACCTATTACATTTCCAACCTTCCCAACACTGTTAGTAAATGTGCCACATGCCATTCGTTTTGTTTGTGTTTAGGAACCATGAAATAATACAGAAATAATCATGTCTTCAACGTTAAGCATGTTGCAGGGTATTTCAAAAGAAGGAATGCTGTCAAATGAGAGGTGAGAGGGAGGCTGGATCGTGGCGTAGGTAAGAACAGGTGGAGTCAGTTACACATTTACATTACTGTTGGTTTAACACAGCTGGAGCGTCACAAATACTGTGTCTGTGTAATCACGATATAAACAAGGTAAGACAAAGAGAGAATTTTCCTTTTAAATATATAAGCATATATAAGTATGTTTTATATATAATATATTTGTTTGGTTTCACCGATAATAGCATTATGGGTCAACAATTCCTGGTCATAAATGTCAGCAAGCCAGCAAGTCTCCATGCTGAATAGTGAACCATCACAAAAACATGTTAATCTCTAGATTCTGTGCTGTTTAATTTCATATTTTCTCATTAAAACAAATTGCTTGCGGCTGCAGAGCAACCATGTCGAACAAATCATATGAGGTCAAATATTCAACGATGAGTGATGAGATGCAGCGGGACGCTCTACAGTGTGTCCTTACAACTGAGTATTTGTACAAAGAGTACAACGACATTGCTAAATACATTGCAAAGGTTAATATGAGTTCCTTGATTTACTGAGTGAATGGAATGTCTTGATAAGCTTCAGTTTATTCAGTATTGTGAAAATTGTGAGTTGGAACTTTACGGTGTATTTCTTTATAGGAATTTGACAGAAAGCATCAGCCCGACTGGTTCTGCATTGTGGGGAACTTTGGTTGCTACCATCCGAGCAAATATAATGTCTGCTTCTGTTGTCACGATTCGCTGCCGGAAGGAACGCAGGAGACACGGAGAAGCGTTAAACAGTCTTTTAATCCACAAACACAGGGAAAAATCCACAACAGGAACGAGGAATGACACACAAACATAACCTGTAGACCCGGCAGAAACAGACAGCACAGACTCAAATACATTTTAAAAATAGCTAAATTTGTTGCTAGGTGCTTTTTGAAAAGAAAGTTGCTAGGGTAGCCTAAGGGTATTAATTCTCCGTTGCTATGGACACCAGCGAAGCGTCTATTAGGCGCAAGGCATGCCGGTCTGAAATAAAATGCAGAGATACATTGCAGCGAGACTCTTGCACAGCCGGCCAATCGCAGAGCCGGGCATGGCAGCGACAGCCAATGGGAAGCGAGAGCGGGAGGAGCCAACGGCAGTTGCACACCTACTACATTACTTTTGGTCAAGCACACAGCGGGAGCATCACAGTCGCTTTTCTCTCCGTCTCAACAAATCTGCACAGAAATAAGGTAAAACTTTGTCTTTCATCCGTTGATTGCAGTTTACAATGCATATAAGTCTGTAGAACAAAATATCTTGTGTTTTTTTCTCTCGCTCAGAGTAAGCGATGTTGTACCTAACGTCAGTTGCCCGTTCACACACCTATGTTTCAGCAACTGTCTTAAATATAAATCCACAACAGGAACGAGGAATGACACACAAACATAACCTGTAGACCCGGCAGAAACAGACAGCACAGACTCGAACTAAATACATGGGGTAAATAACTAGACACACCTGGAACAAATGATCAATCAACACGAGGAAGAAACTGGGTCACGGGAAGCACATGGGGAGGAAAATTATTAATGATAGGATTTATTAGAATATAAACAAAAAGATACGTAATTCTTTCATTTAACATTAAAAACGGTGATGTAAAGTGTTTCTTATTTCTAAAAATAACCATGGCACCATTCATTTGTCGTTTACTAATAAAAACAAGCATCTTAAAAGACACAATTTGATTCAGTAAGTTAAGACTATTTTGTTTAATTAACTGTAATTCATTAAAAGTTACATAAGCATAAGTATCATAAGTTTGTTGTTATAATCTGTGGTGCTGAGCACAGTCTTAAGCTCAGGTGACCATGGCAACAGTAACCTGGCGAAATAATGCCACGTGATGTTATGCAATAAAGATGGAGTAAAGGCTGTGGAGCATCTCCTGTGCTGGTATTATATAAGGCTCAGCTGCTGCGGCCGACTCTGAGCAGATGCTGGAGGACTGTGGGTTTGGGGCAGAGAGCAGGATGAGCACTAGATAGGGTGCGTCACAGGATCAGATCGAGCCCTGTTTAACTCGTTCGTTCAGCATTAAATGTCTCTGTCTTTCCAGATCCAGCATGTCGGACAGAAAGGCAGTGATCAAGAATGCGGACATGTCTGAGGAGATGCAGCAGGACTCTGTGGAGTGCGCAACACAGGCGCTCGAGAAGTACAACATCGAGAAGGACATTGCCGCCTACATCAAGAAGGTAAACGCCGCTTTAGTGGGCGGAACACTTTACGGGCCACAAAATATGAATTATTTAAAATATATATATGCGTTTTATTAATTAAACATAATTAATAATTAATAAATTAATTATAATAAAAAATAATTAATAAAATAAAATAACCAAAGTAAAATTAAATTTAATAAAATAAAATAACCAAAGTAAAATTAAATTAAAATATGCTGAAAACAAAAAACTAATTTTTACTATTATCAGATGCTTTTATCCTAAGCAACTTACAAACGAGGACAATAAAAACAATCAAATCCAAAATATTATTAATTTTAATAACTATTTATTACAATCTATTTTTATTTGATTTTATGTAATTTATTGCATTATAATTGTTACATTTATTAAAAATTGTGAATTATTGAAATGAATGAATTCTGGATAATATTAATTAATATAAACTGAACTAAAATGCTAAAAACATTTTTAAAACATTTTGAATTTATTATTAATAATATTTGATTTTATGTATTTTTTTAAGCAATTTAAGTTAATTATTTTAATTTATTTAAAATATATATATGAATATTATTAAATATATAATTAATACATAAACATTTACCTAATTTAAATAGTGAAAGAAATATATCAAAATTTTTTATTTTATTTTAGTATTTTAATTAAGTTGGATTATTTTAATTTATTAATTTTGATTATATTAATTTGAATACTTTTTAGTCATCCTCTAAATCTTCTAAAATTGTTAATTGATAGTAAATGCTTTTATTGAAGCCATCGGTTGACATTATTTCAACTATTTTTTTCGAGTACTTAAACTTAAAGTCCCCATGAAATCAAAATGAAAGATTTTTGGGTGTTAGTATCAATATGTTAGTCTTAAGGTTATCTATAAGGCAGTGCATTGAATCCTATTTGATCTGCAATTCCTCTCCATAACAACTCTCTCTTATCGAGATTTTTGTAGTCGCTGTCGCGTTTGTCATAAAGCCCTTTGTGTTTAGACACCAATGAAACCAGCAGCTCTACATTCGTCTTGCCTCGATGCATCTTCTTGGTCTACTTACTTCCTCTTTGTCGTTAGGTATCAATGTGTGCTCGGCAAGACCGTTTTGTGCTTGAGCGCCACCAAGTCGTGTTTTACTGTAACTTCAGCAGCTCCAGGCATGTGAACAAAAGCGCCAATCTCATCGGTTGGCCAGTTTTTAACGCGGCGCGTCAAACCAAAAAACCGAGCCCGAGGCGGTTTTGAAAAAATTACGAGGAGTTAAACGTCGGCGATAATCGCGCGCGATATTCGTCCCGGTGTGAACAAGCCTTAACGCTGCGTGTTTCTAAGCATTTCAGGGGACCTTTAAAAGTTTAAAATCCCGATGGGAAAAATACTTCAGCAACCAATGCCACTGAAAAAATATGAAGTCTGCCTTTCACTCAGTCTGCATTTGGCTTTGACTTTAAATGTATTGCTTCCTTGCAGGAGTTTGACAAAAAGTACAACCCCACCTGGCATTGCATCGTGGGCAGGAACTTCGGCAGCTACGTGACTCACGAGACCAAACATTTCATCTACTTCTACCTGGGTCAGGTGGCCATCCTGCTCTTCAAATCTGGCTGAGCGACGGCACCCATTCATTTCAACAGACCATTATGAACTGACTGTACTGACGAGGCGAACCATTCCTGCACTGGACCTGCCTTCTTTCTCTCGGCTGCTTCTCCTTTCGTTCTGATTATTGTTTAGAAAAAGCCCGTGTGAGCGGGAAATGCCATAAAGAAACACTTGTATTTATTTTTGTTTTCTATACACGGTTTGAGCGTTTTATGTCACCTGCGTTTTTTTTTTTAATTAAAGCAAAATGGTTAGCCTGGAGTTTCTTGTCTTCAGGATGTGAGAAGGTCGATGGTGCGGCGTATAAGGAGTCGGTGGTTCTCAAACTTTTTGACTTCTAAACCCTCCATTGCCCAAAACAATTTCCAATTTTCTTAAAACTAGAAAACAGAAATAGTATTGAAGGAGGGAAAAGAAAAATATGCGATGATGTGTGTGTGTGTGAATATTATTAAATATTAATAAATTTAAATTATTTAACAATTAAAACAAAGTAATATTTGATTGTGTTTTTAGCATTTTAATTAGTTAACATTTGAATTAAAATATTAATTTAATAAAAACAATTATTAATAATGTGAATATTTTTAAACAATTAAAAATTATTACAATTACAATAATCTACCTTAAAATGCTAAAAATACTAACACATTAAAATAATTTGATTATTATAACAATATTGGTTATATTAATAATAATATATATTCATTTGAATAATCCTCTACTAGTCATCCTTCATTACTTTCATCAGCTTTGTACCTTTACAATTTGCTGAGGATTTCCTCAAGTCTGAAATCAGTTTGCATCTGTTGTGCATCTTATTGAACATGAATAAAAAGATTAATACAAGCCAGGCATAGCACTGAGTTGTGAGGAAAAATGGGTTGCAAGAAACCTTCAGCTGACTTGTGTATTCATATAATTATGCCATTTATATTAAGAATGATCACACCTGCGCAACAGAATAGAGGTGTAAACACACTGTGCTCATTAAGCCTAAAAATACCCACTGAAGATGAGCTCAAAGCAGACCGATTTAGAATCAAAAGTGCCATTGCTTAAAACAATTTACCATTTATTACAAGCTGACGGCAGTGAGACATTTGCAAAGCTGTTTTTAGAAAGCTACATCACATACAGATTTTTTTTTTTTAAGAAATCTTCAAGAGACATTTTAAACCGCTTTTTCACAAACTATAATGCAAAATCATTATTTGGTACGAGAAAAATATCTGGGAAATAGTAATACAATTTTATTAATGCAAAATTAATTCACAGAATCGCCTGTTTAAATGCACTTAAATAAACTTTGATATTCCACTATTTATGCATTTTAAAATGATCTTATTGCATACGTTTTCACTTTATTGGTTAATTACATGTGACTTTTCGGCCAATAATCCAGGCCTTCATTAGACACCAAGAACAGCAGTACCAAACAATGCTTTACACCAGGGCTGTCCAAACTCGGTCCTGGAGGGCCAGTGTCCTGCAGAGTTTAGCTCCAACCCTAATTAAACACACCTGAACCAGCTAATCAAGCAAACAATGCTTTACACATTATTGTAAGGTATTGTTTTTCCCCTAATTTGTTTGGAAGCCACTCCCCTAATTGGCAGAGTAATATCTGTTGCTCATTGCAAGAATGTACAAAGCAATGTTTGGTACTGCTGTTCTTAATATCTGATGAAGACCTGGATATTGAATTAAAATATTAATTTAATACAAACAATTATTAATAATGTGAATATTTTTAAACAATTAAAAATTATTACAATTACAATAATCTACCTTAAAATGCTAAAAATACTAACACATTAAAATAATTTGATTATTATAACAATATTGGTTATATTAATAATAATATATATTCATTTGAATAATCCTCTACTAGTCATCCTTCATTACTTTCATCAGCTTTGTACCTTTACAATTTGCTGAGGATTTCCTCAAGTCTGAAATCAGTTTGCATCTGTTGTGCATCTTATTGAACATGAATAAAAAGATTAATACAAGCCAGGCATAGCACTGAGTTGTGAGGAAAAATGGGTTGCAAGAAACCTTCAGCTGACTTGTGTATTCATATAATTATGCCATTTATATTAAGAATGATCACACCTGCGCAACAGAATAGAGGTGTAAACACACTGTGCTCATTAAGCCTAAAAATACCCACCGAAGATGAGCTCAAAGCAGACCGATTTAGAATCAAAAGTGCCATTGCTTAAAACAATTTACCATTTATTACAAGCTGACGGCAGTGAGACATTTGCAAAGCTGTTTTTAGAAAGCTACATCACATACAGATTTTTTTTTTTTAAGAAATCTTCAAGAGACATTTTAAACCGCTTTTTCACAAACTATAATGCAAAATCATTATTTGGTACGAGAAAAATATCTGGGAAATAGTAATACAATTTTATTAATGCAAAATTAATTCACAGAATCGCCTGTTTAAATGCACTTAAATAAACTTTGATATTCCACTATTTATGCATTTTAAAATGATCTTATTGCATACGTTTTCACTTTATTGGTTAATTACATGTGACTTTTCGGCCAATAATCCAGGCCTTCATTAGACACCAAGAACAGCAGTACCAAACAATGCTTTACACCAGGGCTGTCCAAACTCGGTCCTGGAGGGCCAGTGTCCTGCAGAGTTTAGCTCCAACCCTAATTAAACACACCTGAACCAGCTAATCAAGCAAACAATGCTTTACACATTATTGTAAGGTATTGTTTTTCCCCTAATTTGTTTGGAAGCCACTCCCCTAATTGGCAGAGTAATATCTGTTGCTCATTGCAAGAATGTACAAAGCAATGTTTGGTACTGCTGTTCTTAATATCTGATGAAGACCTGGATATTGGTTGAAACATCACATGTATTTTAACCAAAAAAGTTGGATTGTTTCAAGAACGAGTGCTGGGTTTTTGATTTTTGGTTGCACCATTCGTTTTTGATGGTAAAGCACCTTTTTTCAGAAAAAACGTATATAAAAGTTTTTTTTTTTTAATTTGAACCATTTATTGATCGATTACTTTTTTTTATAAATACTTTTTATTGCCCATTCAAATATCAAATCATAAATTAGTAATTATAGATTCATTTGTAAACAAATTTCTTAATGCCTATGATTGATTAAATCCTTTATTGCTATTTTTATTGTTTATTTTACACGCTTATAGACCTCATGAAACAAAATAATGCAAGGAACATTGGGTTGACAGATTTTATTTGCATTTTAGAAAACCAGTTTGTGTGGATAGACTCCATTAGACAGACAGAACGTGGAGCGCAGGTATCCTTTGAGCAGAGGAACCTTCTTGATCAGAGGAAGCAGCTGAGAATCCACCGCTTTCTGGTCGGTCTTACGCTGCTCCGTCAACTGGTACTTCTGCAGAACCACACAACAAAAACAATCAGGCTCTCGACTCAAACTCTCCACACAGAGTCCTGCTAAAGCAACCGATGAACCGGAACTGATCTAACGCTGGAAATCCTGTCTCACCTCCTTCTCTGTGTCAAAGATCTCTCCCTCCTGGTGCTTGGGTCTCCTCAGCTTCTTCTTCTTGAAGTAGGTGTCAGTCAGCGTTTTGGGGATCTTCATGCCAGAGATGTCCACTTTGGTGGTTGTGGCGATGCAGAACTTCTGGTGAGCTCTCCGCAGAGGCACTCGGTTCAGAGCCAGAGGACCTGAGAGAGACAAGAGATGGTGTTCAATTATTCACTGCAACAAAACCCCTCCATCGCTTCAGCATCAGACGGCGATCACGTACCAGTGACGAGGAGAAGACCGGTGCCCAGCTGCTTGAGGAAGACCACGCGCTGCAGAAGGAAACACATTCACCGTTAGTCCTCACATGAACCTCTGCTGCAATTCAAACATCAAGCACAGCTTAACCCATCTGAGCAGAAGAGCCCAGATGAGTGTTTGTGTGGGAGGAGAGCATGTAGGAGTTTCACTCATTGAGTCGGTGTTGATGTATGCAAGCCGCTTCAAACGGCGCATTACTGTTTCATCTCAAAGAGGCACAAAATCACTTTCACAGACTTTTACATTAACTGTTCCCTCCTGGTGGAATGACCTGCCCAACTCAATCCCAGCAGCTGAGTCCTTAGCCATACACTCGCACTCTCCATTCGTTTTCTAACTGCTCGTTTTCTTAAGAAAAAAAGGCCTCTAAAGGCCTGTTCACACCAAGGACGATAACTATAAAGATAAAGATATAGTTTTAAAAATCGTTCTCAATATTAAAGAATAGCAGAGT